TAGGTTTGAAAGCTCAACTACAGGACAGTTCTTTTCTCTGCACGTTGAGCACAAAAGTCTGCCGCTTTCGAACCCGTACGCCACCTGTCATGACCATCCTGACCGTGACTTCGCCTCCAAGCACTTTCATTAGCATGAGCCACTGCAACAATGCCGTGTGTCACGCTTGCCCCATCTGCCTTGAAGGCATGTTGTGGCCAAATGACTTCCTGCAGCTTGTGCAGCCTAAGGGCCCCCGGGCAAGTCTGTGCCATCAGGCCAAGTCCTCTCCACTTGCAAATCTTCCGCTGGTTGCAGAACGTCAAGAACAGCAATAGCGAGCAAAGGATACTAAGAACAAGAGCCACAATCAACCACCTGACTGCGCACCTGACTGCTCATCCGCATCCTGTGCACGATATCCGAACTATGCCAAGCACCGTTGTAAACCCCTGAATCCCCCCAAACACTAAATGCCACAACCGCCCCAATGCACAACTGCAGCAGAAAAGTTATGAGCGTTGCAACTGCAAACCGAACCAGAAGCCTGAGCTGCAACAGCAATGGAGCGGCAACGTTTGTTTTTGCATTTCCACTCGGCCGCCACCGCAACGACCGCCAGCAACACAACCGCCAAGCAACCAACCAACCAACCGAACCGAACCGAATCCGAAACGAACCGAAACGAAACCCACGACCACGACCACGACCACGACCACGACCACGACGACCACGACAACCACCACCACCACCACCACCACCACCACCACCACAACAACAACAACAACAACAACAACAACATCAACATCAACACCAACATCATCATCATCATCATCATCATCATCATCATCATCAACAACAACAACAACAACAACAACAACAACAACAACAAACAACAAACACAAACACAAACACAAACAACAAACAACAAACAACAAACAACAAACAACAAACAACAAACAACAAACGACAAACAACAAACAACAAACAACAAACAACAAACAACAAACAACAAACAACAAACAACAAACAAACAACAAACAACAAACAACAAACAACAAACAACAAACAGCAAACAACAAACAACAACGCTTCGATGGGCTCTCACCGCGCGGTTTTTCGGTCCAGAGTTTTCTGTCTGTTCAATGCGTCTTGGGGTTTTTACGCCCACAGACGCTGCTTGTTTTCATCGATGTTCAAATATGCCCTTGGGGCAATGATGATAATGTGTGCGTGAACGTGGATGCTGATCAAGTGGCAGGCATGCACGCAATGATGATAATGTGTGCGTGAACGCGGATGCTGATCATGTGGCAGGCATGCACGCAACGATGATAATGTGTGCGTGAACGTGGGCGCTGATCATGTGGCAGGCATGCACGCAATGATGATAATGCGTGCGTGAACGTGGATGCTGATCATGTGGCAGACATGCACGCAACGATGATAATGTGTGCGTGAACGTGGATGCTGATCATGTGGCAGGCATGCACGCAACGATGATAATGTGCGCGTGAACGTGGATGCTGATCATGTGGCAGGCATGTACGCAATGATGATAATGTGTGCAATGATGATAATGCGCGCATGCACGCAACGATGATAATGTGTGCAATGATGATAATGTGTGCGTGAACGTGGATGCTGATCATGTGGCAGGCACGCACGCAATGATGATAATGTGTGCAATGATGATAATGTGTGCATGCACGCAATGATGATAATGCGTGCGTCAATGTGGGTGCTTATCATGTGGCAGGCGTGCGCTCAGTCATGAAAGTGTGCCCGTGAACGCAACATACGCCCACTGCTCCAAACCCGCGCGCAGGTCGTCAAAAATGGCCCTGAAACCCTTGTTTACAGTGGGAAACGAAACGCGAAAAGCGCGCGGAAACACCCCATCGGAGGGAACAACAAACAACAGACAACAGACAACAGACAATAGACAACAGACAACAGACAACAAACAACAAACAACAAACAACAAACAACAAACAACAAACAACAAACAACAAGCAACAAACCACAAACCACAAACCACAAACCACAAACCACAAACCACAAACAACAAACAACAAACAACAAACAACAAACAACAAGCAACAAGCAACAAACCACAAACCACAAACCACAAACAACAAACAACAAACAACAAGCAACAAACCACAAACCACAAACCACAAACCACAAACCACAAACAACAAACAACAAACAACAAACAACAAACAACAAGCAACAAGCAACAAACCACAAACCACAAACAACAAGCAACCAACAACCACCCACCCACCCACCAACCAACCAACCAACCAACAACCAGCTAGCCAGCCCAACCAACCAACCAACTGCCAGGGTCATACACTGGCAACAACGGGCCAAAGCTGAGTTTTTCCCGGAGGAAGGGGGCGAAAGAAGTTGCGGAGCACCTTTTTTCAACGCTTCCAGCGTTGCGGTCCCGCTATGTATACATCCATTTATATCAATGCTGCCACAGCTTTCAGACATATTTCCAAGGCATGTGCGCAGGCGATATCCAAAACCTTTTCCAAACACTGCGCGCTGCCCAAAAACAGCCAGCAAAAGCTCTGGCCCAACGCGCAAGCCGCATGGCCAGTCTCCAAGACCTATCAAGGCTTTGAGTCCTGCCAATAACTTTCGACGACTTGCTGGCGGGTTCACCTTTCCGATGAGACACACCTCAACATTACAGGGTTGTTAAGGGCGCGGCACACCAACAACAACAAGCAGCACCACCACTCCACCAGCACCACCACCGCCACAAACACAAACGGCGACGAACACGACGACAAGGACGGCACTTCGGGCCGCGGGGTAGTGGCAGCGGTACTAGTACTAACAGTAATAGCAACCACGACAACATGAGGAAGAATGAAACGGCCAGGTAGCGCCCTAAAAATAATGCATCCTGTACGCACATTTGCCAAATCTAAGAGGTCAGCTGAGAGCATTGTGTTGCCACAGTACCTGCGTCACAGCACTGGCTGCCCCAATCACCCCGCAGATTCCTCAAATCTCGGGCAGCCCCAGACAAGGCGTAATGAAGCAGCCCAGGCCCACCCTTTGGCGCAAGGTGGCTGGCTGAACCTGCCTCGCCGCCACAGCCAGTACAGCGCACGACCTGGATGGCAAACACCACTGCGAAGCCTCAAACTGATCCATGCCTAGGCCGCGCGCAATGGCGAGCTCAGCCTCATTTGCACAAAAGGCCCAATGAGCGTGACAAACTACAGCGCAAGCACTGTACATGAAGTCATTGGATAACAAGTCCTTGACCATTGCACAACTTGCAAGCTATCGTCGGTTAAAACTAAGAAAGCCTGATGTCGCAGAGACACAGGTACTCAGGGATGCATCCACTTATGGATGCTTGCAGGGAAAGGAACGCATGGATTTAGTGCAGCAGGAACAATACATGTAGAGGTGCACGGCGAACTGCAAGGATACAGAGCAGGGATGAAGGGACGCAGGGCTGCATAAATGGAGCGATGGGTGGGTAGATTCGGCGCCAAACAGGGGTGCTTGGACGGGGAAGTTGGGCGGGGGGTATGATTCGCGGGCATGATTCGAGGTAGGATACGCAGCTATGACATAGGGTGTGATTCGCAGGACCTAACACCTTTGTTGCAACAGTAGCTGCGCTCACGCTCTCCCGTTGGCCTTGTTGTTAGCTTCGTGAGCGTGGTAGTAGTAGTAGAAGTAGAAGTAGTATATAGAAGTCGTAGTAGTAGTAGTAGTAGTACTGGTGGCAGTAGTAGTAGTAGTAGTAGTAGTAGTAGTAGTGGTAGTAGTAGTAGTAGTAGCAGGAGTAGGAGTAGAAGTAGAAGTAGTAGTAGCAGTAGTGAACCTGGTGTTGCAAAAGAGGTTTGATTCGGGGTATGGTTCGGAGGGTATGGTTTGGGGTATGATTCGCACAGGTCGCACACACCCTTTCTATATTATTATTATTATTATTATTATTATTATTATTATTATTATTATTATTATTATATATATATATACATATGTACACCCAGCCTACAGCTGGATGGATGGATGGATGGATGGATGGATGGACGGACGATGCACAAATGCACGCAAGCATCCACACATGCGTAGATGCATGGATGCGGGGATGCATGTGTGTGTGTGTGGATTCATGGATGCCTGGATGCGTGGATGGATTACCTGTTTTGCTCAGTCAACCCTTCTTGCCGTACTGTTCTGCCCTTCTTGACAGCATATTTTAACGCTTGCATCGTTGGAATGGCGCGAGGTTGTCCACTACTGTAGTGTCCTCTTGTTAGAGCAGAAAATAATTGAGCTTCTCCATACATTGGAAGCGCCATCTTTGAAAACACATTTGGAGACGATCTGATTCGGAACCGAGCTAAGGCCCTGGCAGCCAAGCCTACTCCACACCCAGCGCACGCTGTCCAAGCTTGACGAGCCCCTCTTGGCGTCAGCCTTGCCATTGAACCGTACGCGTGCAGCAGTGGAGATTGCGCCAAGAAGCTTGAAGCACTTGCCACATAGCAAAGACCCGACGCCTGGAAAATATCACAAATGACTTCATTGATGTCTTTCGCCTTTGTCTGAACGGAACTCGTGAGAGCGCCTCGCAGCCACGGGAAAGCGGAGGTCCATGGCAGCTCCAAGCTCAAGGCCTGGAGGAATTTCAGGAAACAAAGTTCACAGAATTCAGAGGAACAGTCAAGGAAGCCTCAGAGGGCCCCTTCCCGTTGACCGCGTAGACCTCCCGAACTCGGAAAATGTATCTTTCACGGACCCTGTCTGAGGTGAAAACGGCCAGCGACATAGTCGGACGGAGCACGCGGTCAGCCGCCTCAGCAAGGGCAATCCATGGAAGGACTGGCACAAAGGGGCCGAGAGGATGACCCACATCACATCCTGCTGAGTTGGAGCTTCCTGCAACGAAATGGCTGCCCAATATGAGGCCTACAAAGCTTTGCCTCTACGATGATGAACTGAGACTGCAATGGCGGCAACGTAGCCAAAAGGACCTGGCTCCGGCAAACAGGTCAGTTGCGGCATTAACAGCAAGTTGTCGTTTGACCAAAGCATGCTAGTGGGTAACCCGCCAATCGAATACGCGGAGCCCGTCAATCCCAAACTGTCCCGTCCTGCCAATCACGGACTGCAATCCCGCCAATCGCGCATTGCCAAAGCCGCCAACCGCATCCCAAAACCCGTTAATGGAATCGAGTTTGGTCACGTCTGGCCGAGTTTGGTCGAGTTCGGTCCAGTTTGGTCAGGTTGGTCGAGTTTGCACGAGTTTGGTCCCATTTGTTGAGTTGGTTGATTTCGGTCGAGTTTCGAGTTCGAAGTTGGTTCGATTTTGGTTGATTTTGGTCGAATTTGGTCGCATGTGGTCGCATGGTCTAGCGCTGTCATGGTCGGATTGGGCAGTCCGTTCAGTCAACCGGAGAATTCTTAGAATTTGGTCGGGTTTGCTCGAGTTTGGGTTTGGTCGAGTTTGGTTGGATATTGCTCAAGTTTGGTCGAATCTGTTCAAGTTTGGTCGACAATTTGGTTTGGTCGAGTTTAGTTGGATTTTGCTTGAATTTGGTTGCCTTTGTTCTGGGTTTGGTCGAGTTTGGTCAAGTTTGGTCGAGGTTGGTCGAACTTGGTCGAGTTGGGTCCGGTGGTCGAGTTTGGCTGGATTTCGCTCGAGTTGGTCGCATTTGGTCGAGTTTGGTTGATTTTGGTTCAATTTTGGTTGATTTTGGTCGAATTTGGTCGGGCTTGGTCAAGTTTGGTCAACATGGGTCGAGTTTGGTTGTCCAGTTGGTCGAGTTTGGTCGAATTTGGTTGCATGGGGTTGAGAGGTGTCAACTTTAAATGACTTGGAGTTGAGTTTGGTTGACTTTGGTCGAGCGCATTGGTCCAAGTTTGTCGGATTGGGCAGTCCATCGCCAGACTGACTTCAGCCGGAAATTTCTTGTAATTTTCCGGTTGAATTCTCTAAGCCGAATTTGGTCAAATTTGGCGGGGTTTGGTTCAGTTCAGTCAAATTTGGTCGAATTTGGTCGAGTTTGGTCCAGTTTGGTTTGGTCGAGTTTGGTTGGATTTTGCTCGAGTTTGGTCGCCTTTTTTGTTCTGGGTTTGGTTGAGTTTGGCTGAAATTGGTTGAGTTTGGTCGAATTTGGTCGAGTTCAGTCCAGTTTGGTGAGGTTTGGTCAAGTTTGGTCAAGTTTGGTCGCATCTGTTCAAGTTTGGTCGAGTTTGGTCGATTTCAGTCGAGTTTGGTCGACTTTGGTCGAATTTCGTCGCATGGGGTCAACGCTGTCAATGTTAGTTGACTTTGAGTTGAGGTTGTCGAAAGGGCCCGCTCGAGTTAGGTCCAATTTGGTGGAGTTTGGTCCACTTTGGTCGAGTTTGGTCGGGTGTGGTCGAGCTTGGTTGAATTTGGTCGAATCTGTTCAAGTTTAGTTCAAATTTGGTCGGGTTTGGTTGAGTTTGGTTGGATTTTGTTCGAGTTTGGTCGAGTTTGGTCGAGTTTGGTGGAATTTTGTTGAATTTGGTCGAATTTGGCTGCATGGTGTTGAGCGCAGTTTATTGGTCGGGTTTGGTTGAGTTTGGTCGAAGTTGGTTTGGTCGAGTTTGGATTTTGCTTGAGTTTGGTCGCCTTTGTTCAAGTTTGGTCGAGTTTGGTTGATTTTCCTCGAGTTTGGTCGAATTTGGTCGCATGGGATCGAGCGCTGTCAATGTTAGCTCACTTTGGGTTGAGGTTGTCGAAAGGGCCCGCTCGAGTTAGGTCCAATTTGGTGGAGTTTGGTCCACTTTGGGGTCCGAAACGCGAAAATTTGGTCGGGTTTCTGGTCGAATTTGGTCAAGTTTGGTTGGATTTTGCTCGAGTTTGGTCGTATTTGTTCTGGTTGAGTTTGGTCGATTTCGGTCGATCTTGGTCGAGTTGAGTTTGGTCGACTTTGGTCGAGCGCATTGGTCCCAGTTTGTCGGATTGGGCAGTCCATCGCCAGAGGAAAATTCTCAAGTTTGGTCGAGTTTTTTGTCGATTTTGGTTGATGTTGGTCGAATATGGTCGCATGTGGTCGCATGGGGTCTACCGGAAAATTACCTGAATTTTTCCAATCATATTCTCTAGGCTGGATTCGGTCAAATTTGGTCGGGTTTGCTCGAGTTTGGTTGTGTGGTCGAGTTTGGTTGAATTTGGTCGAATTTGGTCGAGTTCGTTCCAGTTTGGTCTGGCCGAGTTTGGTTGGATTTTGTTCGAGTTTGGTTGAATTTGGTCGGGTTTGGTCGAGATTGGTCAAATTTGGTCGAGTTTGGTCGAATTCGGTCACATAACTTCGAGTTCGAGCGTTTGTCAATGTTAGTTGACTTTGAGTTGAGGTTGTCAAAAGGGCCCGCTCGAGTTAGGTCCAATTTGGTGGAGTTTGGTCCACTTTGGTCGAGTTTGGTCGGGTTTGGTTGAATTTGGTCGAATTTGGTCGAATTTGGTCCAGGTTTGTTTGGTCCAGGTTTGGTCAAGTTTGGTTGGGTGAATCTGTTCAAGTTTAGTTCAAATTTGGTCGGGTTTGGTCGAGTTTGGTCTAATTTGGTCGAGTCTGGTCCAATTTTGTTTTGGTCGCCTTTGTTCTGGGTTTCGTCGAGTTTGGTCGAAATTGGTCGAGTTCGGTCCAGTTTGGTTTGGTCGAGTTTGGTTGGATTTTGCTCGAGTTTGGTTGTATTAGTTTAAGTTTGGTTAAGTTTGGTCTGTTTCGTTCGAGTTTGGTCGAATTTGGTCGAGCGCCGGTAACTTTTAATTGACTTCGAGTTGAGTTTGGTCGACTTTGATCGCGCGCATTGGTCCAAGTTTGTCGGATTGGGCAGTCCATTGCCAGATTGAATTCAGCCGGATTTTTTTTGAAATTTTCCGGTTGAATTCTCTAGGCTGAATTTGGTCAAATTCCTTGACAGCGCTTGACCCCATGCGACCAAATTCGACCAAACAAACTCGACCAAATTCAACCAAACCCAACCAAATTCGACTAATTTCGACCAAACTCCAACTAAACTCGACCAAACCAAATTGGACCAGACTCGACCAAATGCGACCAAACTCGACCAAAGCCGACCAAATTTGAACTAAACAGCGTTCTGGCATCATATTCGGCGCTCCTTTTGATTCCCGCGGCAGGTTTTGTAGAAACGCGCGAAAAAACGAATTTCGGACCGCGAAATACCAAACTCAACCACACCCGACCAACTCGTGCAAACCCGACCAAATTTGACCAAATCCAGCCTAGACAATATGACTGGAAAATTTTAAGAATTTTCCGGTTGAATTGAGTCTGACGATGGACTGCCCAATCCGACCATGACAGCGCTAGACCCCATGCAACCACACGCGACCAAATTCGACCAAAATCAGCCAAAATCGAACCAAATTTGACCAAATTCAGCCTAGAGAATGCAACCGGAAAAGAATTTTCCGGCTGAATTCAGTCTGGCGATGGACTGCCCAATCCGCGCTCGACCCCATGCGACCAAACTCGACCAAAATCAACCGAAATCAACCAAACTTGACCAATCGACCGAATTTGGTCGCCTTTATGTTTGGTCGAATTTGGTTGAGTTTGGTCCAGTTTCGTCAGGTTTGGTCGAGTTTGGTTCGACTTTGCTCGAGTTTGGTCGCATTTGTTTAAGTTTGGTTGAGTTTGGTCGATTTCGGTCAAGTTTGGTCGAATTTGGTCGAGTTCGGTCGAGTTTGGTCCAGTTTGTTTGGTCGAGTTTGGTTGGATTTTGTTCGAGTTTGGTCGAGTTTGGTTGAATTTGGTCGAATTTGGTTGTATGGTACCGCGTTGAGCGCTGTCTATTGGTCGGGTTTGGTTGAGTTTGGTCGAATTTGGTTTGGTCGAGTTTGGTCGCCTTTGTTCAAGTTTGGTCGAATTTGGTCGCATGGGGTCGAGCGCTGTCAATGTTAGCTCACTTTGGGTTGAGGTTGTCGAAAGGGCCCGCACGAGTTAGGTCCAATTTGGTGGAGTTTGGTCCACTTTGGGGTCCGAAACGCGAAAATTTGGTCGGGTTTCTGGTCGAATTTGGTCAAGTTTGGTTGGATTTTGCTCGAGTTTGGTCGTATTTGTTCTGGTTGAGTTTGGTCGATTTCGGTCGATCTTGGTCGAGTTGAGTTTGGTCGACTTTGGTCGAGCGCATTGGTCCCAGTTTGTCGGATTGGGCAGTCCATCGCCAGAGGACAATTCTCAAGTTTGGTCGAGTTTTTTGTCAATTTTTGTTGATGTTGGTCGAATATGGTCGCATGTGGTCGCATGGGGTGTACCGGAAAATTACCTGAATTTGTCCAATCATATTCTCTAGGCTGGATTCGGTCAAATTTGGTCGGGTTTGCTCGAGTTTGGTTGTGTGGTCGAGTTTGGTTGAATTTGGTCGAATTTGGTCGAGTTCGTTCCAGTTTGGTCTGGCCGAGTTTGTTTGGATTTTGTTCGAGTTTGGTTGAATTTGGTCGGGTTTGGTCGAGATTGGTCGAGTTTGGTCGCATGGGGTCGAGCGCGGATTGGGCAGTCCATCGCCAGACTGAATTCAGCCGGAAAATTCTTTTCCGGTTGCATTCTCTAGGCTGAATTTGGTCAAATTTGGTTCGATTTTGGCTGATTTTGGTCGAATTTGGTCGCGTGTGGCTGCATGGGGTCTAGCGCTGTCATGGTCGGATTGGGCAGTCCATCGTCAGACTCAATTCAACCGGAAAAGTCTTGAAATTTCCAGTCATATTCTCTAGGCTGGATTTGGTCAAATTTGGTCGGGTTTGCTCGAGTTTGGTCGGGTGTGGTCAAGTTTGGTTGAATTTGGTCGAATTTGGTCGAGTTTGGTCCAGTTTGTTTGGCCGAGTTTGGTTGGATTTTGTTCGAGTTTGGTCGAATCTGTTCAAGTCTGGTCGAGTTTGGTTGAATTTGGTCGAATTTGGTCTTTGGTTGCGTGGTGTTGAGCGCTGTCTATTGGTCGGGTTTGGTTGAGTTTGGTCGAATTTGGTTTGGTCGAGTTTGGA